ATGCTCTTTAGGTTTTGTAGAGCAACTCGTCTAGGAGACAGACAACTATGAATTCAAAACTAGTCAAAATATAGATAAGCGCTGTCAGGCCATCTTGCCCTAGATATCAGTACTGCTGCTTTGATATGGTATCCCAACGACCCTATAGATCCCCCAACACTATGTTAGGTTTAGAACACGTATGAGTTGGTGTTAGTTGATTGTAATTACTTCAAAATTCGAGTATTTTTACGAACGTCGCCTTCCGCTGTAATTACTTTTACAACCCTCTAGAGGTAGGCGTACCCTTGTTTAAGAACTACAGGTGTCTGGGTGAGATATTCCTTTTGTTGTTTACTGCTTCTTTGAAGTTTGATACTTTTCCTTCTGTTGTGCAGAGGCAAAGTGCAACGCCATAAAATTCATCACACCATCGTGATCTGATCTTAGTGGTTAGAAGCAACAGAAAACTCGAACGTCTGTCATTATGACTGAAAGTTCTTGTTTTATCTAAAATACATAATTGAAAGAGATTAATGAGTCGGACAAAAGATGAAGTTTCGACTGAACATCTCCGATTGCACGGAAGATCGTGAATTTCTCAAAACCTATGGAAATTTTTTCCATATACAAAAAAAAAAAAAAAAAAAAATGAAGAAAATAATTAGTGGGAGTTATTAAGAGCCGAAGAAAAAAAACCCTGACTTAGTGTGAAATTGAACAGAAAAAAATTGTTTATTTACAATTAAATTTAAATTGGAAATTAAAGAAGAGTATATAATTGCTTGCTCAAAATATTCCTTTAAGCACCTAATAAAAATTAATATTAATATGTTCGTTTAAAAATAGGACTTAAAATAGGTAAGAATAAAAATATATTTGTTAAAAGGGATACAGTAAACATTCTCTTGTAGTGAAAGTTTAGACCTGTTCTCAGTCAAGGTAAACATAATAGTCGCGAAGAATGTTGATGGCGAGTAAGACAAAATGAGGAATTTTGGTCTGTGTCTCTTTGCAGTTGGTTTGAGTTAATAATTGTTAGTTTTTGGTTCCAGTCATGTCCTCCGATGTTTTTAGTTTGTCACTTGGCATTTTCGAATCTTCTTGTTCTCAATTGCTAATGTTAATTGTTAATTGTCCATTTGACTATCCATTCTGACGACGATTGAATCAATAGCGACTTTGAACGGTCAGCGAACCTGGGTCGTGAAGATCGCTCTGCTAAGATTAAAAAATTATCGAGTGCTTAAAATACAGTGTGTCTGATTCGTGAAAAATTATCCAAATGAAGATTTTTCTTTCCTCATCTTTTTTGTTATTTCCAAAACATTCGAATCTTATTTTGCCCAGAGTCAAGCAAAGCATCGCCAAAAATAGGCTCAAATCAAGGCATGTCGAGTAGAGACCGTCCGCACATCTTCGCTCTTGGGTAATGGTAATGAATAATAGGTTTTCACTATTCTCTTAATTTTTATAGACGATTTCTTTTAGAATCATAGTGAAGGGTGTTTTCCATTATTGTCGCCCTTCCGACTTCGTAAGGTAGTTTAAACTAAACTTACAGCATTGTCAGTGGAAAAAAAACGTCCTTTTGACTCTCCATTTTCTGCGAGCACCAAGGTCCACATTTTTCATTGTCAAAATCACGCAATCATACCTGCATAAGTAAAGTACACGGTCAGAATCGCTAGATATGAATAGGCCGAGATAGATAGATAGATAGATAGATAGATAGATAGATAGATATATTTTCTTAGAGGGAGATGATCAGACTGTAACAGATAGATATGAACAGAATGATAGGTATGTATATATATATATATAATTTCACCCCGCAAGCAATCCCTTGTACACACACCACACACACGTGGCCTGACGATTGCATTTTGCTTGTGGGTGTTGACTTCAATGTCCTCTTTTATAATTACATATGCCCTATCCTTGATATTGAACTCTTTAACTCATAAATATAGCATACCTTAAAACTATATTTTGATAGCGATTGGCGTTGTATCAAATCTAAAATTTTTAAAGATAGTAAGTTCCAGAGAAACTGAAAGACAATTCCACAATCGAGAAAAGAAACTTTTAGAATAGAATATACGTTTACAACTAACTAGTTCAATAGTAAAACGATGAGACTTAGTTATCAATCTCGTATTATGTACTCGAGGCTATCAAGGAGGAAAGCTCATCAGAACAGCGGCAATAAAAATATTGAAAAAAAAACCCCAAAAAACAAAAAGGGAAGCCATGTGACGGTGTTGGGTAAATGATTGAAGTCGAGATGCCAGATCCGGAAAACAATTAACCAACCCTTCTTTGGAGCCTCGAGATATATATCATCGGATCTCCAGTTCAGATATGGTAAGAGTATTTAATGTATACATGAAAAGTAGATATATAAATGTAAAAGATGAATTCTGATTCGAAAAATTGTTTAGCACGGAAGAGTGAACCAACTTTCCTAGTAGTAGACCTGACAACTCGTTCAATATGATCACTCCACCTTATGTGAGCGGAAAGCGGGAGCCAACGAAGGCGCAAAGGGTTGCTTTCCTGAACGTTAGCATCAGCCATGCTGATGGAAGAAGGGTAAGGTTCTCTATGGTGATTAATTTTATTTTGGAAACGTTAGAATTTACCGGCCATTGTTTTCCCAAGTTAACCACTGGTTGTGGATCATTTGGGTGGCAGAAGCTGCCAGTTTTACCTTTTACCAGGTCCTGTCAGACTTGCTACTAAGACAGAAATAAATAGTTAAATCATCAGTAAAAAATACCTATAGGTGAAATCTGATGATATCATGGATGAAGATAAGAAACAACACGGATTCAATGATATCGCCCTAGGGTCTCCTGAATTAATGTCAAATGATCTAGAAACATGTCCGTTTAACACGACCTTCATTACACGATTTGTTAAGAAGGATTGGATTAAGCCAAATATTCGCCCAGAGACAATATAGCCTGGAGTATGTGGCGAAGTTCAATATACGAAACCATGTCGAATGCATTAGAGATATCTAAAGCGACAGCACAATGGAGCCGAGTTCGAATTCCAGTCGAATCTATTACATTCACTTACGTGCTAATACCCTTGGGAAAGGTGTGAATCTTCTTCTTCTCCCTCCAGCTATGGGTAAATAGCAGGACAGACTGGGTTCTATAGCCTTGTATGGCAACTGGTCTAGGAGAAGGAAAACTCTGAATTCAAAACCTGCGGAGGGTCGTTTGGGGACCTTGTGGCACGTAGTGCACCAGGTCTGTAATCGGCCTTCAAAAAGTGTGGGTGGTCCTGCACGAAACCTTCACCACTATAATCAAATCTCATGTGCTATACATGCGGGTTTGGGGCCTGCTTGTGAATTCCAAATTCCCATGAAACTCCAATATTGGAGCCGGCTCAATCCACCCCGGGTGAATGCCGTTACAAGAACAAGAGAAGAAGACAGCCTGGGCCTTGCCGTTCTTATCTAAAGCTTTATAAATAATTTCAGTAATAACGGTTAACACAAACAGCAATACTATTTATCTGGGGAAAAAAGGCCGTTTGAAGTGAGACTCTTAACCAATTCAGCGTTGATTAGAGCATCTAGTACTTTGCTAAAGTTGTAAAAGACAAATAGGGGGATAATTCGAAGGGTGTGAAGGTTCACCAGAGTTCTTAATGACCGGAACTATAGAGGAGGATTTCCAACAATCTGGGAAGCAAGAAACAGCGAAGCATTTATTGTAGAGTTTGGAGAGAACAGGAGCCAGTTCAAGAGCATAATTCCTTAGAACAATTGCAGGTATACCATCAAATACGCAAGCCCTGTGGAGATGTAGTTTAGAGATGATAGCAGAAACCATTGATGGAGTTATGTGCAAATCAACCAGCAGAGATTCCATTCTAGGTTGGGGAATCAGGCAAGGATACTCCTGATGAGTTGAGAATTAATTTGGAAGAGAATTTACGAGCAAAACATTTTGCATTATCTGCAGTATATGAGGCACAATTCTTAAAGGAAAAATTAAAAATATTCAAAGAGGCTTCGCTAAGAAAATCACTAAATGTCCCAATCAGTCAGTTGATAGCAAAACGAGGTCCTCTTAATCGGGAGCCTTTGCCCAATAGAAAGCAAAAAGAAATATTTGCAGACACTACTGCGTGGTTGGAGTTGCCAAGAGCACAGAGCTGCGGAGCACGACATGAGTCTGAGGAAGAGGTAAGGAAAAGATCAAGTAGAGTTGCGTGCCCGTCAGAATTACTAGATCGATAGATACGTAGTTAGGCTGAGATAAATAGGTAGATAGGAACAGACTGAGATAGGCAGATAGAAGGAGAGGGGGAGAGGGGGGAGAGAGGGGAGAGGGGGGGAGGGGGGAGAGAGAGAGTCACTGAATTAAATATACAGTGACATCGTTTCAAAGGACAAATATCAACAAACTCAAACCTGAATTGACTGATAAAGAGATAGAGATGGAGAGAAAAGATTTGAGATAAACAAAACTCCACAGAGAGAGAGAGAGGGAGAGAGAGAGGAGAGAGAGAGGAGACTTTATATGTTTCTATCTTCAGCTATTAGGAGTGCGCTGCAGCCAGTGTCCTCGCATAAACAACAACAACAACAACAACAAAACACTCTGATTTTTTTAAGCTTCGTTGACTGACGATGCAAACGACAAATGGACTTCGACAAGCGACCCAGCAACATGTTTTAACGCTCAAGTGAACCGCGTGATAGACAGAAGGAAAAAGAAAGTTCAGACAAATTTAGCAGGAGGAAATGAAGAGGAAAAATGTCAAGAAAAATAATAGAAAAAAAAGAAAGACTTTGAGGGAAAGAAAGAATAAAAGAGGTCAGCGAGAGTGAAGAGAAGAAAGAAAGAAAGAAAGAAAGAAAAGAAAGAAAGAAAGAAAGAAAGAAAGAAAGAGGCATATTTTGAGAGAAAATTAATTGACTAAGTAATGAAGAAAGGAAGAAAGAAAGAAAGAAAAAGAAAGAAAGAAAGAAAGAGGCATATTTTGAGAGAAAATTAATTGACTAAGTAATGAAGAAAGAAAGAAAGAAAGAAAAAGAAAGAAAGAAAGAAAGAAAGAAAGAAAGAAAGAAAGAAAGAAAGAAAGAAAGAAAAGAATCTCAGGGAAAGATAAACCGTCACGAGAAAAAAGAATGAATGAAGGAAAAGCTGAATCAAAGAAAGAGAAAACAAAAGAAAACATTGAAAAAAAGATAAATTTAATAAATAATGAGGCGAAAAACGAAAAAGAAAGAAAGAAAGAAAGAAAGAAAAGAAAAGAAAGAGGCATATTTTGAGAGAAAATTAATTGACTAAGAAAGAAAGAAAGAAAGAAAAGAAAGAAAGAAAAGAAAGAAACGAAAGAAAGAGAAAGAAAGAAAGAAAGAGGCATATTTTGAGAGAAAATTAATTGACTAAGAAAGAAAGAAAGAAAGAAAGAAAGAAAGAACGAAAGAAAGAACGAAAGAAAGAGAAAGAAAGAAAGAAAGAAAGAAAGAAAGAAAGAGGCATATTTTGAGAGAAAATTAATTGACTAAGAAAGAGAAGGAAAGAAAGAAAGAACGAAAGAAAGAAAGAGAAGGAAAGAAAGAAAGAAAGAAAGAACGAAAGAAAGAAAGAAAGAACGAAAGAAAGAAAGAGAAAGAAAGAAAGAAAGAAAGAGGCATATTTTGAGAGAAAATTAATTGACTAAGAAAGAAAGAAAGAAAGAAAGAACGAAAGAAAGAACGAAAGAAAGAGAAAGAAAGAAAGAAAGAAAGAAAGAAAGAGGCATATTTTGAGAGAAAATTAATTGACTAAGAAAGAAAGAAAGAACGAAAGAAAGAGAAGGAAAGAAAGAAAGAAAGAACGAAAGAAAGAGAAAGAAAGAAAGAAAGAAAGAAAGAGGCATATTTTGAGAGAAAATCAATTTACGAAATAATGAAGAAACAAAAGAGACACTGACAAGAGAAAGAAAGAAAAATGAAAGAAGATAAATTCAATAAATAATAAAGCAAAAAAGAAGAAAGAGCGTGAAAGAAAAGAAGGCTGTAAAATAAGGACAGAGATGTTATGAGGAAGAATGAAAGTAAAATGGAAGAAAAAAGACAAATTGCGAAAGGAAAGGTAATTGAAAGAAAAGAAAAAGAAATTACAAGTGGAAGTAAAATGAACAAATGGAAGAAATAAGTGAAAGCAAAAGGAAAAAGAAAAGGAAAATATAAGAAATATGAAAGAAATGATGAAGGAAGAAAAAATTAGGTTGAAAGAAAAAAAAAAAATACTCGAACAAAAATGAAAGAAATTCTGAAAAATAAGAAAGAAAAGATGAAAGATAAAAGAAAGAAAAACTGAAAGAAAGGCTAAAAATTTGAAATTAATTTTGAAAGGTCGACAAGGAAGAAAATGGAGAAATAAATGAGAATAAAATGAAAGGAAGGCTGAAAAAGAAAAAAAAAAGAAAATTTGAAAGTAAGAAGACAGGAAGGTGGAAAGTGCGAGGCAAAAAAAGGAATGAAAATTGAAACCAATTAAAAGAAAGAAAGAGAGAACATCATGTAAATGCTGAAAGAAAGAAAGAAAGAAAGAAAGAAAGAAAGAAAGAAAGAAAGAAAGAAAGAAAGAATAGGAAGAACACCATGCAATGCTGAATGACATGCAGACAAACATACGGACAGAACGTAAGGCAGAACGGAAGTCAAAAAGAAAGAAAAAACGCTAGGGAAATGCTGAATAAAAGAAAGAAAGAAAGAAAGAAAGAAAGAAAGAAAGAAAGAAAGAAAGAAAGAAAGAAAAGTGGCTGTAGAGGAGGGTGGAGAGATTAAAGAAAGAAAGAAAGAAAGAAAGAAAGAAAGAAAGAAAGAAAGAAAGAAAGAAAAGATACCATGGAAATTCTAAAAGAAAGAAAGAAAGAAGGAAAGAAAGAAAGAAAGAAAGAAAGAAAGAAAGAAAAGATACCACGGAAATTCTAAAAGAAAGAAAGAAAGAAAGAAAGAATGAAAGAAAGAAAGAAAGAAAAGATACCACGGAAATTCTAAAAGAAAGAAAGAAAGAAAGAAAGAATGAAAGAAAAAAAGAAAGAAAGAAAGAAAGCTTGGGCAAAAACAAAAAGGAAATAAATTTTCAAGTATGAAAAAAGTGAAATGAAAAGTGAGAAAAGAAAATTGAAATTAAAAAGAAAGAGAGAAAAACAAACGGAACAGACGAGAGATGGAAAGAGAGGAAAATAAGCGACGCGTAGAAATACTGAGGTGCTTTTAAGAGTAAAGTTGGGTTAGCTTTTTCTCCATTAGAGCACGTACACAAATTGAAAGAATACATGAGGACACTTCTTCGGTGTGAGAAAGAACTCCTTAAATAAGCCGGCCCACTTTAAAAGAAAGGCAAAAATGGAAAAAGAAGAAACGTGTTCTTTTCCGTTATTATACAATGTTTGAAAGCATTAGAAATTTCTGGTGGTTTAAGGTGAGGCATGGGGTAGAAAAAAGAACGAATCAGCCTTGGGCTTTTGTTGTGCTGGGTACGGTAATGGTCGGATTCTTTCAAAAATTGGGGAAGATGTTTGTCGAAAATGGCATTTTGAATAGGCTTCCGAATAATAAAAGCCTGGGCTATTGGTTCTTGCTATTTTGCGGTGAGTCAATGAAGAGAAAAGAGTTTTAATTAGACGTTAGGTTGGAGAGAAAAAAAAAAGAACGGAAAAGGTAAGTAGGTTAAAAAAATGAAGACTAAAGAAAGTGAGTGAGTATTGAGAGAAGTGGAAAGAAAGAGAAGTAAAAAAAGATGAAAGAAAGAGAAAAGAAAAATACGCAGGTAAGTTAGAAAAATACCTATAAAGGGAAGATAGAGGAAGTTGGGGTAGGAGAAAGAAAGAAAGTTATGGTAAAAGAAAGAATAGAAGAAAGAAAGAAAGAAAAAGAAGGAAGAAATTAAGGAAAAGGAAATAAAAAAAGGGTTGAAAGGGAAATAAAAAAGATGATAGGAGAGAAAAAATATGGTAAAGGGGTAGTTATACTGATAGAGTTAAAAAAAAAAAGTCTTTAAGTAAGGGAGAGAGAGAAGGAAAGAAAATGGAGAGAAACAAAATATAAAAAAAAGTGACACTGCCAGGCGTACAGCCCCACAAATAAGGAATAATGCCATTTTCTTTGGTTTCATCATTTCCAAGCGTCGACATTCATAGCTCAGTCAGTATAACAAAAGACTTATTCTTTACTTTTCGCTCCATACGGTCGTAGAATAACGATCTGTGTAGTTGCTACAATAAGTGACAGAAATTAAGATGAAAAAACACTAGTGAAAAAATTAATGATCACTGACAATGCTTCATGAAAGTATTTCAGAAAACTTAAGACTATTAATAATTGGTATAAAAGTAAAAAAAAAATGAATTCAAATAAATATTAGTCAACGATTAATAATAACTTAAAATGTCTCATGAAATAACTTAAAAATTAAAAAATATTTTCTTTTATAAAGCTGATGAAAGATAACGGTCCCGCCAACCTTTAAAGAACGCAGAAGAAACAGTTTTAAGAAAACTGGAATAAAAAATAAATGGTTGCTAACAATCAGAAAGAGACTGCTGATTTTTGGCGTTTCCAGGTCCACCCTGACCCGGGGTGGTAGCATCTGACAGGATCCCAACAATAGGCAAATAATTAACCCCCTAAAAGTGTTGGCTGTATTAACGAGGATAATGTTTTGTATTTCTTTTCTCCTAAAGTGTTTAAGGTAGCAGGACGCAAAAGTGTCAAAACTTTGGTTGCTGAAAATCCGTCCCAACCTATCACCACTTGTCTACTTTGGGGGGTGGGGGATTTATATACTGGCTACAACTAGGCAGCCATTTAAAACATGAAACTAAATGTGACAAGTGTGATAAAAACATGAATTGAATCCGATGCGCCAAATGTCCCGATAGGTATACTTGTGAATGTCAAAACATTTGGGAAAAGTGTATTTAAAACTGAATGCATTTGTACGAGTGAAGTATTTAGATGGCGAACCGCTTGAGAACACCAGTTACAGTAAGCAACCTCCTACAAACTAAAATGCGTTTAGACGTTAAATAGCACACAAAAGGTTGATAAGCCGTAAAAATCAAATCAATCAGCCAATTGCCTCCACTAGAAATGGGTATGTTTAATTACCAAAACAATGTTCACATTTTGAGGTGAGGAAGAATGTTAAAATTATCTGATTTGTTGCGCCCCCCACCCCCTACACGTCTAAATTGCGAAGCTCTCGAAATGCAGGAACAGACAAATGCAATACGAATGTCTATTTTATTTCAATGATTACGAATAGCTTTTATACATATGCGTTCATTGGCCAAATGCACATCGGCTTGACGCGTACGTAAGGAGTCACGTGTTTAGTTACGTGTACTTTTTTGAACTCATGTCTTTCTTTGTCACGCTACTGCCAATATTTTATTATTAATGTAAATATCCAATGAATATAATAATAATAGTGACCTCATAGAGCAATAATTATCACCACCACATCTACCGCCGTCACAACTACCAACACCATTACGACTAAACACAAGTAAATAATAATAATAATAATAACAACAACAATTGATCATCTTGTATCAGGTTGCGCCGTAATGGCACCCACTGAATATAAAACCCGGCATGACAGAGTTGGCCAATATCTGCACTGGAATATCTGCAACTTCTACGGGAAGGAGACTGACAGAAATTGGTATGAACACCACCCTGATCCGGTTACGGAGATAGAACCTGTTACAATTTTATTGGACTACACAATACACACAGACAGAAGAATCAATGCTAACCACACAGACATTGTTATTAGAGACCGCAAACAAAAAAAGTGTCTCCTTATTGATATGGCAGTCCCTGCTAACTGCAATGTATCTTTGAAGATCTACAAAAAGCTATCAAAATACAAGGAACTTGAAATCGAAATCTCAAAAATGTGACACATGGGAACATCAACAATATCTGTTGAAGTTGGAGCCCTCGGATTGGTTGGAAAAGATTCCAGTAGACTCATTGAAGGGATTCCTGGAAGCCCATGCCTTAAAGAAATTCAAAAAATTGTTCTCACGAGTACAACCCACACTTTATGTAGGGCTTTATCTATGTAAAATATGTTTTTTTTTATTATTGGTCAGTGGAAAATGTTATGATGCTATTTCTAACCCTAGGTCTCTGAACGGGACCCGGAAAGAAATGTGTAAGCACCAGAAATCAAAGGAAATAAAACAATAATAATTATTATTATTTTCTGTGCGGAGGAACATTGCCCACCAAGTAGATTCGAAAAGTGCTGGCTGTGGTGGTAATTGCTACCTACATCATTAGCGCTTTTGGAATGCTTGGCCCCCAAAAAATATGTGATGAAGTGGTCACCTATCTGCATTAGTGACTATGACGGAAATATGAACTTGAAATCGATGAGAAATGATGCCATCACAAGCCAGAAAATGTGTCCGAAAACGAAAATTATGTGCGATTCTAACACCCAAACAAACCGCTTCTATGAGGCTACCAAAATAGAAATCACAGTCTTTGAAAAAAATCCTAATCGATGTGATTGTTCCTGGTATCAAGGCCAAAGAAACCGAAAAGAAAAACTCTAACCTCCGGATTGAAGTTGCTAAAATGTGGGACGTTCAAGCTATTCCCAGTTATCAATGGAGCGTTCTGGTCGATAACATCGAATTTCTACAGGAAGAGAAAATCACTACAAAGCCGAGTATCTCAGAAATCTGTGTTGTTTGTCATTGCAAATATTCTTCGAAAGATAGTGTAAAATTTGCAAATTTTATAGGAAGGAAGTTGTAAGAAACAGGTATAAATATCACCCAAAACCGGTTACAGACATAGAATCTGTAACAATTTGATGGGACTTTGATACACACAGACAGAACAATGAAAACTAATCACCCAAACATAGAGATCAAAAGACCACACATTGAAATCTGATAATTGTTTAATTTAGGAGCGATTTTTTTAAAGACATTCTTTTTTTTTCTTTTTCGCATATGAAACAGATCCATTTTGGTTTAAAATTTACTGAAAACATAAATGTTCAGCAGAAAAATTGAAAGGAACAAGGAAGATAAAGAAAAGGTACAGGTAAGGACTAAGAGAAAAAGATCTGAATAATATAACATACAGTGTAACCCGGATATAAGAGACCCGGATATAAGAGAAACCCGGATATAAAAAAGATTTTCTCTGGTCCCAAATTAGAGCCATACTTACCTAAACAGAATAGACCAAACCCGGATATAAGAGAAACCCGGATATAAGAGACTTCTTCTCCGGTCCCGACAACTCTCTTATATCCGGGTTACACTGTATATTTTAGTCAACAAACATACAATTCCTACAAATGGATTACTTCTGCCATACTACGGCTGAGCTGCCCAGTCTTCGCTTTCCAATCTTTATAGAGTTCAAAACTGTCTACACGGCCTTGTGGGTAATTAATCATTTTCCAATCTATAACCCCTCTTCCACATGGGAAACATTACAAGCCTTTCGCTACTTTGTCGCTCTTCACATGACAAATGTTCTTAGTTTTACCAGTTCAGGTTTTTACACTTAAGATTCACCATCCCTGGAACGAAATACCCCACGTCCCTTTGTATTCTGTCAGTATGAAGGACGTTTCACATAGCTTCTTCCCAAGAACCGCTACATTATGGAACAAGCCTCCGAAAGGATACGTTACCGATTACTACAATCTTAATTTTATCTTTCCTACTTAACCTCATGCACACTTTTTACCTCCTCCTCTTACGTTAATACAACAACTTCATTCAGTAACTCTATATTGAGTGAAGAATTAGCAAAAATACTGTACAGCTCAAACCATACGTCTACTTGTTCCAAAGAACTTAAGTTGAAAATAAAACAAAGTTAATAGAAAAAATATCAGAATATATTCGAGTAAAAACTGAAGGATCTTTTTATTTAAAGCTCACGCCATGCCACGAACTGAGAGCTGTCATAAATATTCTAATTGCAATATTAGAAATCAAAGTAAACAAAACAGTAATATACATGAAAAGGGATGGCGATTATTTTGAAAGACATTATTATGAAGACAACATCCCAGCATCGCCGAAACGTAACTGTCGTCACTTTTTATGACTTCAGTATTAATCTGTTTTGCACTGATTTATTATAGCGCTTCTTTTCAAATATTTCCGAAATACGTTTGGCCATGTGAAATTGGTTTTATGCATTCACTTGTAAACATTTATGCATTCTCTGTATTAATCAAGGGTTGGGTTTAACAGACGTAAAAAAATATATCTTTACCAAGATTTTCTAAAAATAATATTTTCAAAAATAAATTAATTCACTTGTGAATAATTCCTAAAAGTTGCATTAAAATCTGACAAATATTTGATTTTTGCGAGAATTTCAAAATTAATGTTTTTCACCGAAAAGAGTCGCGAAAATGTCCATTACCAGATATGTTACACCGTCAACACAAAAAACAAAACACACACACAAAAAAAGCAAGATTTTTAACACAAACTTCGAACGTGTCAGAAAGGAGCAAAAGAATATTGAAAAATAATTAAAAAATATATTGTTCTTTCCTCTTAATAATAGCATAAAAATTTTGACGATAAAACTTTGTTTTTATCAAGTGTGGGGCCTTTTTCATCATGTTATGCTGTTTTTTCGGTTTTTTTTTTAGTAGAGGTATCGAATTAAACCATATTATTGTAATTAAACAGTTTGACAAAAGAATAATGTTTAACGTTTAACGTTTTTGTTGCTAATTCTCGAGAAACAAAATTATGAATCCAGATACGCACAAGCTGTTTTAGGAAATTGATTTAGCGAGAGCAAATGAAAAAGAAAATATCCAGAAATATTTTTTTTCAAAATTTATAATTACAATTACTCGTCGTTATGTGTTTATTTAAATTTTCGTGTTCACAGGTATTTTTATAATTTTATGAATTAAAATGCATTTTCATAATTATTTCTGCATAATATAGTAAATAATATATATTTCAATGCAGTTGGTTAACATATTTTTTATAAATTTGTAAATATGATTATTTGCATTATTTATATTATTCACACTGTTATCCACATCGTCATTGCCGTATTCACAACGTTTCGGTCGTTGTATGCTCCGGCCTTCTCCAAGGATACATGGCCCAAGACGTTGGTTACATCCAGTGACTAGACCCAAAGAGTTGTGAGTTCAATACAAGGCCACAGCAATGGTGAATCAAAATTTGTAGAATTGAGGTAAAGGGAAATAGCTGAGTCATTGGAAAGAGGCATGGCACATGGAACTAGAAGAATCTACCCCGGTGGACAAAATAAACGGCTCGGTTTGAAATTCAAATCACCTGAAAATGGCCGGAGCGTACAACGGCCGAAACGTTGTGAATATGGCAATGAAGATGAGGATAACAGTCCGAATAATGTAAATAATGCAAGTAATCATAATACCTCATCTCAGAGATATAGACAGATATATAGAGAGACACAGACATAAAGGCCGGAGCGTACAACGGCCGAAACGTTGTGAATATGGCAATGAAGATGAGGATAACAGTCCGAATAATGTACATAATGCAAGTAATCATAATACCTCATCTCAGAGATATAGACAGATATATAGAGAGATATAGAGATAAAGGCCGGAGTGTACAACGGCCGAAACGTTGTGAATATGGCAATGAAGATGAGGATAACAGTCCGAATAATGTAAATAATGCAAGTAATCATAATACCTCATCTCAGTGATATAGACAAATATATAGAGAGACACAGACATAAAGGCCGGAGCGTACAACGGCCGAAACGTTGTGAATATGGCAATGAAGATGAGGATAACAGTCTGAATAATGTAAATAATGCAAGTAATCATAATACCTCATCTCAGAGATATAGACAGATATATAGATAGGCATAGACATAAAGGTCGATGGCAACGACGATTTGGATAACACTCTGAATAATGTAAATAAATTTAAAAATCACATAAATATGCAATATTAGTCCAGGAGATGTGTTTCAAAGCAAATTAATGAATTTAAGGATTAATGAACTGAATTTTGTAACCATAATTCTCATCTCAGAGATATAGAAGATATTGCAAATATGAAATTATTATTGTAAATAAACAATCTAATAAATTAATAGTGTTTACTATTTTTGAGAAAAAAATAAAACGCTGAAATCCAGTTTCACATGTTTGCATTTTATTAAAATTTTAAAATCTCTTTTTGAAATAATGAAATTTACCAATAAAACCGCGGGTGCGTATGTTAATCTTTGGCATAATTTTTGTTTTAATAAGTAGTTGCTGAAATATTGAAATCTGATAAGTGTTTAGTTCGGGGGTAATTTTTTTAATTTTGTGGTCCACCAAAAATACACACACGTAAGCAGATCATCCTTACTGTAAACCAAATGCTTCAAAGAAAACAGTGTACAATATTTATTTTATAAAAAGTTAAATTATTATAAACTAACATTTAATTAACGGACTAATTAACACTGTGAATAAATAAAATATTGTTAGGATATTAAAGACACTCCAATATGACCTACGTGATTGAGGGGTTTTCTGTATAAAGGATACCTAAATGCAAGGAGTCCCTAGGGGTGGAGTTCTTAATGTCACAAGCCTTTGACAAGGTAGATTTTTACGGAAACCTTTAGGTACGTGAGGCGGAATGGATATAATTATTTCTTTTAATTTGTTGAGGCATTTAATCTCAATTACTCTTAAGAGCCATTGAGACAAAGAAGGAAGAAAAGTGTGGTGTAAGGGGAGAAAAATAAAATGTTGGAAGAAAGAAAAGAGAAAAATAGGGGACAAAGGCTGACGGTTGGAAGCAAAGAAATAAAAAAAGACTGAAAAGAAAACAGAAAGATTTTATTTTATTTCAAGGAAGCAGACGATTAAGGTGGGGGAAAGTGGAATGAAGACTAAAGATGGTGGCATATAAGAGGAATAATAAAAATTGCGGGAGGTCGGAGTGAAGACGAAATACGGCAGGAGGAGGGTGAAAGATTTCGGGATATAGATATGGCGAAAGGATTGAGTAATACGAAAACATGAAGATCGGTTATAGGAATACGAAACAATGAAAGAACGCGGACGGTACATTAAAGATGGCCAAATTTAAGAAATATAAAGAAAAAGTGAAACAATAAAGATGGCGGAAGGCACAAGAATGCTGATGCCTGAAGAAGTTGAAAAGTATAATAAAAATTGTCGGCCAGAGGAAAAATATTGGAAAATTGGGTTTGCAGTATTGTATGTAAATGAGATACTGCTATAAAAGCAGTCACAGTGAATGCTAGTCGAGCTATCATCTGTTGACCTGACAACGTCTATTCCAGATATGACACTACTTCATAACAACATGGCGTCGCCGATAGGGTTCCTAATCCCGTAGGGGTACGTAGAAACTTGGATTAGATGTTTCACAGTGTTGGCTAGGCTAATGAAAGTGAAAGACAAGAAAACCTCCGAAGGGGAGAATGAAATTACTGATTTATTTTTGGCTTTGGCAGGATGTGAAGTCATAATTAAAATATCCATTATGATATAGCCCACAAAAATATGTGGCAGTTTCAGCCATTATAAAAAGTAATATCCAGTGTAACCCGGATATAAGAGACCCGGATATAAGAGAAACCCGGATATAAGAGAGATTTTGTCTGGTCCCAAATTAGAGCCTGTGTTAATGTATATAAAATAGTCCAAACCCGGATATAAGAGAAACCCGGATATAAGAGACTTCTTCTCCGGTCCCGACAACTCTCTTATATCCGGGTTACACTGTATGACCGAAAAAAGGCTGATTATTGCAGAGCGAACAAAATTTCTGGAAAACAGACAGAAACCAAATGAAAGCGTAATGCACTATTTACACAGATTAAAAGCAACATCAAGATATTGCGAATTTGAAAAACTGGGTTCGAGAGAAATATCTATAGAAGGCTAATTGATCTTTCTAAGACTAATTGAAGGCATGTATATCAGTACATATAAGCATAAGATCCCAAAACGGCTACAAGCGAATGATATGAATTTAGAAGTAAGTGTGGAATTCTTGCAGCAATTAGAATTAATTAATGAATTTAATAAATCTAAAAACAATGTGGAAGCATACAACACAACTGATACCCTAATTAAGTGCAAATATTGCGACAAAGAAGCCGAAAGAAACAAAAACAAATGTTTAAACTATAAAAAAAAGACCATTTCCAAGAAAGAGCAGAAAATATAAACCCTTATACTGAAAATACAGAAGTATGTTCGATAAGAACACCTGCAAAAAGTAAAGAGACAGCAAAATTGAATGGCATAACTTTTCTCATGTAGGTTGACACGGGAAGCAATGTTAACTTGAACCCAAGGAATTTCTGGGAAAAATGGGTAAAACCAAATTAAGAAAAAGTAATCAATTCAAAACAAATTGATGGATCTGTCAGTAAAACTCGAAGATCCTTTCAAGGAACTTTCGAGAAAAAAAAACTGTTTTGAGATTATTCTCATAACTGTTGTGGAATGCACAAAAGAAAAAGCCTCCTAGGAATTGGCGTTTTAAAATTGAACACCGCGAAATTAATAAACTGCATGAAGTCAGACGAAACTGACATAGGACTACTGAAAGGATATAAATCGAGTACTCGTCTAAAAGAATATAATCACCCGATCTATTTTGAATCTCGAAAAATACCTATTCACATTCTACTGTAGGGTTAAATGGTAGTTGCAAAACTAAAAAAAAAAAGAAAATGGTAGAACAAGGCATACTGGAAAAAGTTACTCAATGTGGTAGCAGTTGGGCTTCACCAATTGTTGCGATACGAAAGCCCAATGGAAACTTGAGGATATCCGGGGATTGCAAAGTAGGTGTGAATTATCAGATATGCCTTGATTTATTCCTCTCACCTAACATAGAAATGGCAAGTCATGAATTAGCAGGAATTAAATATTTTGCCAAGACTGACCTGAAATTGGTATATAACCAAATAGAAATTGACAGAAAATTTAAAGAAATCACTTCAATTAATAAACTGCTAGGCTTATTAAGACTGACTTGTCTTCCGTTTGGAGTTAAGGATTCAAGCCATATTTTTCAAAAAGTCAACTGAAAAAGTTCTACCGGGGGGTAAAAATATAATTGTATATCAAGACGATACACGCATAGGTGCTTACAGTAAAGAGGAATTTTAAAAATGAACAATTTCTAAACAAATTAAAAAATGCTGGTATTTCTAAACAAATTAAAAAATGCTGGTATTTCTAAACAAATTAAAAAATGCTGGTATAAATAGCGATAAATGTGAGTTAAATTGTGAGAAAATATCGTATTTGGGATGCCAAATATCTAAAGAAGGAATTTCACCAGACAATAAACTGATAAATAAAATATTTACCTAGATACAGCGACCTAACAGAACCATTTACAGAATTAGGAGAAAAGCATACAGAATTTAAATGGACTCAAAGGCAAAATATAGCTTACGAAATCTTAAAAAAGCACTAATAAGAAAACCGATTGTAAAAATCTTTGATCCCCAAAAAAAGAAGTGACATTGACTACGGATGCAGGTAAACATGCTGTAGCTGTAATTTTATCCCAAGGTCATCCAATAATTTAACTGTCGAGAAAATTAACATCAGCTGAAGCTAACTACTCAAATATTGAGAATGAAGTGTTAGCAACAGTGTGGAGAACAGTAAGAGCTCGAAAAATTTTGCTAGGACGAAAACTTTTGTCAAAGTCAGATCACAAAACTTGAGAGTTTATATTTAACCCCAGAAAGGAATTACCAAAAGTCACATTTTCTAGAATTTTAAGATAGACTATAAAACGCATGGCGTATACGTAAAGGGGAACACTATTCCACACGTGGATGCGCTATGCAGACTAAGTTCGACAGTAAAAAATTAGAAAAGTCTGAAAATTCAGAAGATAAAATACTGGGTTGAAACGGACGTGTTATCCCTAAATCGTCTCAGAATGGAAACTATAAAAGATCCAGTGTTAAGTAGAATTTCAGACAGGAAAAAAAGAAACACATGGAAAAATTGTTCAATGGCAGAAAGAGCCCACAAAGAATCAAGACATAAGTTAACTTTAGAGAAAGGCATAATTAATATATTGTAATAGTTTCAGAAAAGAAGCATTAAAAGGTGTATACGATGATGTACATTGTGGTATAACAGCGATACAAACGAGATTAAAATTACAAGCGTGGTGGCCAGGATATTCTTGAGATGTAGAAGACTATGTAAAAAGATGGCCAAAATGTGCTGAAATAAAAATACTTTAGGTAAATCAAAATTCACTCGTGGCCGAAAGAAAAGAACCATAGGCTCGGATACACATGGATCATGCCAATATTAAAGGCATGGGGTTATTTTTTTTAATTTTAGTGGATTCATTTTTAGGATAGCCCGAAGTAATTAATATTGCTGACAGAAAAGCCATTATTGTAAAACAAATATTAAGAAGAATATTTTCGGTGAATGGGGCTCATAAACCAGAATTTTGCGAGGAAAGTTTGAAAAATGTACGAAATGTACTGACCCAGAAGATGAATGAAACCCGAGGATATAGAAATGGACGAAGAACCTGAAGGTGAAGAACACGAAACATGAAACGGAACAATCTATGGATGATAATAACCAGAAATCTGACGAAAGGTCGGAAGTGGAAAATGAACTCCAGACCTAGTTCCCTTCTAAGAAGAAATCAAGATAAACACTAAGAAAGACATTTTAGATTCCAAAGAATAATTAGAAGTCAAAGATCAGGGAAAGGCATAAGGCGATTTCAGTTCAGCTATATTTAGTATCGTACGTTAATGAGGTACTGCTATAAAAGCAGTACACCTCAGCGAATGCCAGTCGAGCTGCAATTTGTTGACTTGACAACGTCTATTCCAGAGATTACTCTACTTCATAACAATATTAATATTAAATATGGCGGAAAGAAAGAAGTTAATGATGACACAATTTGAAAAAAAAAAGAATAAAATATGTAAAGGGGAGAAAATAATAATAATATTAATGTTAACAGAAGGTGAGAGAAAAGCTGAAGAAAATGGTTTGTGAAGATTAAAATGACAAAACGTACGAAGACTCAAATCTATGAAAGTATGGTAATGCTAATATTATTAATGCTTGAATTACATCCTGATTTTATGATGCACTTCTAATTCCGGACTTTCTTCAGTAAACTTCGAATATTTTTTTTGAATTCGAAGATGGCGGAAGATGAGAGGATGAGAGAAAATGGCAGATTTTGTGTCGTAGCATAAAAATTACGAAGATGGAAGAAATAATAAATAAATAAATAAATTTAGTTGGAACTCGGACAGACACTTAAGAAGCCGGAACGAAGGAGAAATAGTAAACATTTTAGTGAATGTTTCCTCTGAATTACGAAATTGGAAAACTAAATATGTCGGAAGTCTAGAACCTTCATCATTTCATTTCAAGGAAACACTTCTCAGCAAATCTGAAGAACCTTGTGAAAAAATCAGAAGAATTAAGAGCAAATCCGGAATCAACGTCTCGGAAGCGTTAACGAAAATCATTCTGATATCTTTGTGTTGTAGAGTAGTTTCACAGTGGAGGCTTGTATTTCACTAAGTCGGCCCTAAAAAAGGTTCGACGTACAAAACGTTAGGAACTTGTTATAGTAGTTAATGACGCAGCAATCTAGTTGTGGTGGTTGATACTTTAATGTCCGACATCGAATGACTCACCAACTCACTGAGCTCCCTCTGGCGACTGCTACTACTACTACTTATTATATGTCGGAGATTCTATTAATAATAGAATAGGTATGTTCTAGTATAACACTTTGGCCTGAAGATAAAAATAGCATTTATCTTACACGATAAATATAATCTCCGTTTTTGTTAATGCCCTTAATTAAAGTAATCGTGCATTATAGAGTGAAAATATTAGCCCACATCCCCACTACCGTAACCCATCTCCCCTGTGATTTTTCTATAAATATTTGCATGATAATTGTTCTGAGGAGCTTTCCGCTTTGGTATAAGGCATGTATGTGCATAGGTTGCTTTTATTTTTGTCCCCACTTTCATTAATTTCATCTCCCTCCTCTCCCCACTTAGGTGGCCAGATGTCACTTCACTGGTCGATGCAGGAAACCTTTCGTAATTTAAGTGTGCTTTTCGTATTCATTGATGTGTTTCAATGAGTGTGTGTTTGAGTGAGTAGTTAGACGAATGATCATTTTAAATTAAGTTCCGCATTAATTTTGTGAAGTTAACTGATGTTTCTGTCAAAATTAAGGATTGTGGCAAAGGTTAATTATCTGCATTTTCGCAGAGTAAATATCGCTTCCATTTTTTGGTACCTCGACTTTATGAATTTAAGCGCAGTACTAGATTGGCGGCTAGGTCTCATCATTTTACATTTAAAATGGATAGATGTATACCTAAGTTCTATGCAAACAGTTTTACTCTCGCACTTCTCGTTTGTGGAAATCTCTTCCAATGTCTTGTTTTTCAGTCAACCTTGATCTTCAAAAATTAAATCCAATGTCAATTGTTATATTCCGTCCTCTTAATTCGTGTTCTTTTATTCTTCTCTCGCCTTTATAATGTTTATATTCCTTATATTCTCTCACACTCAGTGACACCCTTGCGCCTTAGTGGCTTTATTGTGTTGCTTGGGGTGAAATGATAAAAAAATATCAAAATTTAGTTCATAACTATCACTTCTTAATCCACCTTCGGACAGATGATAGAGCTTAGTATCGTAACGACACCTTTTCACCGATCTCCAGAGAAAGTCGTTGGGTGAAAAATTAAATGAAACCTACTACTACTACTACTACTAATGAAACAGAAAACATAAAGAAGGTATCATGTATTCTAAATTGATTAAAAACTCAGCTTCTTTACACAATTTCCTCAATGCAGTAGCTAGGTATTGAACTCACAACTCTTTGGTTTAAACCAATGGATACAACCAACGTGAACAAAACTTGCTTATAGTGAAAATGCATTCGATTATGTTGTTGATGAACAAATTAGACAAGCTATTAGCAGTATACACATAAATAAAAATAACTCTAAACATATCAAAATACTATACCGTAATCAAATGCATTCCAATTATAAACAGGAGAAAAATTTTCTGAAAAGACTCATAAGCACCTCGACTGATACAAGTAAAAAAGATAAAATTAATTACATACTATATTAAATTTAATACAACCAACCTAAGCAATTCATTTTCATCAACTAGCATCTTACAAAAGACCAACATTATATATCATTATTTAAATGTCCTTTTGGAGATTGAATCTCTGATAAAAATGTTAATACGTATTTTAGTTTTACTACGACGATGCTAACAAAAAAGGCTTTCGTTCCATTTAGATGAGCATAGTTCAATCTTACAGGATTTAAAGGAACACTCATGTCCACACACACAGTTTAAACAGATATTAGTTGAAAATGCATCTATATTACATACAAAGAATAATAAGCAAAAATAAATATCCTAGAAACCCTTTATATAAGAGAATAAAAGACAAAAATAAAGTAAATTATGAGTATAGCAACAATGTTCTTAAATGTTTGCTGCTACAAACATTTATATACATACACGCTACGACCAATCATTTCCCAGATCCCGACCCCTATCTACGAGCTGTCAAAATTAATTAATGGCATCATTACCCCATACCTACCTACCAATTACAACATCATATCCCCACCACAAATCCCTTCAAATTCTCAGCAGTATAAAACCAAATCAAGGTATGTTAGCCTCACTTGATGTTGAAAATTTATTCACAAAAGTACCCGTGGATCAAACCATTGACATTATCCTCAATTCTGTGTATACTAATAATACTTTTCATCTCCATCCATCAAACCAAATATCCTCAAAACCATATTTGAAAGAAACTCTGTCCGTAACTTTACCTACGAACTTAGTCAAAAAAATAAACTCCCATTCTTAGACGTTCTTGTAGATTACAGTAACAACACTTTTTAACACTTCATTGTATAAAAAAACTGACAGAAACTGATAACCTTAATTTTAAAAATGAATACCCACTAAGATATAAAATAGCAGTGATAAAAACCTTCCTAAAGAGAGGACGTCCTTTCGTCTACTTTTTCTTAAAGAACTGAATAATGCAAAACAAATGCTAGTTAACAATGGTTATCCTAACAACCTCATTGACCACCAGGTTAGACATTTTCTTCCAAAGTAAATAATAACAATACTGAACACAGGCAAAAATAGCTTTCTAGAAAAGCCAAATGCATGTCAACTATGAATCTTCACTTAGAAATATCATAAAGAAATACACTACTCCAGTTAATCCGAACAAAAAAATTAAATTATCTACTACAAAAAAATAAAACAGGTAACGTTATCTTTAAAAAAAAATAACAACACACCTGCAAAATCAAGACTACAAAGAAGGAACATTATTTATAAGTTCAAATGTTGGACTATTGAAGGGACTTGTTGTTACTTGATCCCTGGGGCATGCAATCGTTTTCTGAAGAATACGATAATATTTATTTAATTAAAAAAACAAAAAAAACAAACTCGGTTTGCTTGCTCAGTTCGTTCACCTTTGACACTTCCACTCAGATCGCACCCAAACATACACACACACACACGCATACATACATATTCATCAATCTACAAGCGATCCACGAGTTACCTGTCTGCCCCTCCTCTTGTGTGGTCTTGCGACAGCGCTTACATTCTCGGCACTCGTTGTCATCCACTACATTAACACAACTTACCAAACCCATTAACAGGACTTACCGACTATGGAAGCTAATAGAGACGAAATGAAGCGAGGGTGAAGGTTTTGGTGAGAAGAGACGAGGCGGTCGTACGAGACGCCCCTTGTCATTTTTTTTGTTTCTTGTATATTTGCATTGCGACGTTTGTTTTTTTTCTTTTTTTTTTATTTTCTTTCCCGCTTTTATTTTCTCGACATAACTCTTCCTTTTTCACCCTATACTTCAGTGCTGGCTTCTTTTTTACGAAAAATGATTAAAGCAGGTTATTTCTACAAGTTGGGTTCATATCTATCTATCTATCTATCTATCTATCTCAACCTATTTGTATCTATCTATCTATCTATCTATATATCTATCTATCTATCTATCTATCTATCTATCTATCTATCTCAGCCTATTTCTATCTATCTATCTATCTATCTATCTATCTCAACCTATTTGTATCTATCTATCTATCTATCTATCTATCTATGTCTGTTCATTTTAAATACGTTGTAAATTCAACAACGTTGGCATAGTGGATATAGGATTTCGTTAAATGTATTATTATATCACCTAAGTAACTGTATCTGGATTAGACAGTGAAACAATAGTTCAATCTCTGGATCAGGTAGTGATACTCTGGTTCAGAAATTATTTCGTTCTTCCTAGCAGTTAGCTCCACGAAGGTTGTTCTTACTGACCAAGTTCATCAGATCAATGCAGACATCCTCCAAGGTTCGCTTCTCGATCCAATATTCTTTCTTCTTTATATTAACAATTTGCCTAAGAACATACTCAGATCTTTAGTGAATAGCTATGCAGATGTGACAACAGTGTATGGGTTGCACCCCGCAAAATCTATCCCAGTAGCTGACCTCTTACATAGGGTGGTGTCAACCATGTTTGCCGTAGTCTCTGAATATAGAGTCCAGTGAAGTACATAATGTGTTCAATATCAGAGGTTGGCAGTGAAGATTCGGAGAAAGTAGCAGCTGTTAATTAATTCTTTAAGTCTTCGATATCGGAGGTTGGCAGTGAAGATATTTTGGGAGAAAAAACAAAATGACTGCCTTTATACACGTCGAATTGAATATTTTGAGCTTTCTGATTGGTTAACCCTTCTATTGGTGAAATATAAAATGAATCAGCTCACTTTGGCTAGCTCACTAGTACCAACCTACCCAAAAATTCTAACAGGTGGCTAACAAAAAAACCTGGAAATTTGGTACAGTTTATTTAATTATTGGAATTTTTGTTACAGTTATTTGAAACAAAAGCAAAGGATAGAAATTTAGTAGCTTAAAACAGATCAAAAACACAAATATTAGATGTGTTTAAACTGAATGGCTCTGGCAAAATATCTTGGCATTTTTTTCATTCCCCAAGTTGGATGTTCTTTCTTAAAGACAACAATCACCTCACGTTGAAAATTTGGTAACTGTGGCATCTTGCGACAACAAATGGTTAAAAATTTATATTTTAGTCCTTTTTTTACGTCATTCATATAGAAAAATAAATTGTGACGTCGTCCCCCGGTCGCCGCGCCGACTGTGACGTTCTATCCTGATCTACCACGGCGCCAGTTGTGACGTCCCCAAACAGCACCAATTGTGACGTCCTCGCCGCGGCGCCAGCTGTTCGCTCCTCGTTGTTCCGTTCGGGTGTCGCTGCTCCAAACGTGACGTCCGCCTGTCGCGTCAGTCGTGTTGTCTCGTCCTGTGACGACCAACTGGCTTGGTATCGGTCGCGGCACCCAAATGTGACGTTCTAACCTTTTGGTGATTCCGGTGGGAATCTGGTTAGATTTGATATCAGCCTCGTCGTTCCCAATTCGCTTCCAACGCCTGGTTACCAAGGTAACTGCATTGATCTCCAGTCTGCCTACCCACGTTGTGAATTGATCTTAGGCAGACGAGATCAAACAGTGGTTGGGGCCGTAATGCAAACTGAGTTCAACGGGGTTGATACTACACAAATATGCATAAAAGAAAATAAAATGAAAACTCAAAAATTCAAAGTATCAAAGAAAAAGGTAACAAACTTTATGTCTAGTTGTTCGATACATAGAACTGCATCTATCTCCCGACCCGTTCTATAGATTGTGACACGTCGTTTTCCGTCAGGCGAGTTTTAACGCTTCAAGTTGTTTGCTCTCTAAGAAATTGGCGTTTCGGTGTGTCTTTGGACGAAAGTCGAAAAAAAAAACTTATTTCGGTGGTCTGGTTCTAAGTCGCTCTTCAAAATAATTGTTCTTGAGTTGAAGAGGAGTCCGGAATTTTGCGTGAATCTTGGTCTGCTATCTGCGATGCGGCTTCAACTGCGAGCTTCGAGCTTCTCTGCTGCAACTCCAACTCAACTGTCCGCAGGAGCACGAACTCTGATTTCTGCCTGTTGGGGCCTCGCTTTTATTGACGCCGACCAAAACCGGGGTAGGTCTGTCGGCGTCGGGGTTCCTCGATAATTCTAAATACATATCCACCTCTTTTATTTCTGGTTAGGGATTTTCCACTCTTTTCCATTTTTGGGAACCTTTCCTCGCTCCCACTTTCTCACCATACTTCTGAGGGGCGTGAACTGCCCTCCCCACTTCCTCGTAGCAGCTTCTCATACTTATACTCTGGATGAGGCGTCGACAGCCTTCTTCGTGAGTCACGTGATCACCACTCGGCCAATGAGGTCTTAGTCGGGTATCTTTCCTGCTCCTTCGTGCGTCACGTGATAACCACTTGACCAATGATGTTTTAGTCAGGCGTGAACGAACCCGCGGCTTTGTTTCGGGAAAAAAAAAATATCTTGCTTAACTAAAAAAAAATTATCTCTTCTCTTTCCCTTTTCTTCCGCTTTAATCGCCGTTATCATTTTTCTAGCCGCAAACGGACAATATGACAACTCTTGTTCTACACGTGGTTTTTGTCAGGTATTTTATCGCTAATTATCAAAATGGGTGGTCTTCTTAACACGGCCTCAAAAAAAAAAAGAAATATCTCTAAAGTTTCAGTCAGTCTGTCGCCTCCAAGGAAGAAGAAAAAACACTTCTGGGTCCCCATTCATTTTCCTTCGGTACATATTTCTGATAACATAATTTTATTATCGCAGGCCAAAGTTGTTTCGTCGAAAAAAAATCGGTCAGCGGACACGGCTTGGGTGGCTTTTAATTTTTCATATCTACCCAAAGTCCTGTAGTTACACCTGTGTTTTGTCAATTATCAAAATTAACGTTTTCAATTGAATTTTTCGTTGGCCAGTTGACCAGCCGTTTTGTTTACGTACTCCTAGATAACACAGCCGTTATCAAAACACATCTGATTCTTTCTTTCTTTCTCTTTTCTTTTTACTCAGAATTTCCCTGTCGTTGTAATGACACCCTTTTCGCCATTTATTACTTATCAATATTTTCATTGTCTCTTAGCCGTGTGTGTGTCTGCTTATCACCCACGATTCGTCTCGCCTTTCTTTCTGCCTTCTTTTCTTTCTTTTCCTTTCTCTGCCTCGTAAATGGTGCCACAAATAGTCAATCGAAATTCAGAAATTATTCCGTCCTTCCTAACAGGTAGTTCCACGAAGGTTGTTCTTACTGACCAGTCTTCTTAAATCATGACATCAATGCAGACATCCTCCAAGGCTCGTTTCTCGATCAGACCCTCTTTCTGTTTACCAATCTGGCTAAGAACATATTCAGATCTTTAGTGTCTATCTATGCAGATGTTTCAACAGAGGTTTCAACAGTTCACCTGCCAAAATCTAGCCTGGCAGCTGACCTATCATCTGATCTTGAATGACGGGGAATGACTAGCATGTAACATTAAATACCTCAAAAACCAAACTCGTAACGTACCATCATCACCGAGAAGATTCTGAATTTTCGCATATCGTGAGTTCAGTTTGGTTGTTCTTTCAAAGAGGCTCCTTGCCTTGAATGTCTATTGTCACTCATGTTCATCTATAGGATTCGTCGCTAAAAATGCAGGGGAAATGTTCGATTCATTGTACTGTTCTAGCAAGTATCTGACTCCCCCTTTAAAAGAATCTGTAAAGACCGAAAATGAAGAATGGAGGTGCACAGTCCTTAATTTCCAATCTTCGTAGAGTCCAAAAGCGTCTACGCGGCCTTGTGGGTGATGAATTATTTTCCACCTTACAACCTCTTTCCCACTGGCGAAACGTCTCAAGTCCATCGCTACTCTATCGCTATTTCTATGATAACTTTTCTGACGAGCTACATTGTTCTAACAGCTAAGACACACCTTGCCACGTATATTAAGAAGAATCATCTCAATCCCTTTCGTATCCCTTTAGTAAGGACGAAATAGACTCCCTAGAGGATGCTTCCCCAATCACTACAAACTTCTTCAAGTTTACGGTTAACCGTTATCTTTTCACCATATTCTCATCAGCAGCATTTCCTATCTCCTTCTCTGACGTTAATACAACAACCTCATCCTATAACCCTCTAGCTTATGTGCCTCTTGGGCCTTGCAGTGTCTCTATAATATTATTCATAACAGTTCAGATAAGTGAAATTGTTCGAAATGTATATATTTATAGATATAAAAAGTAAATTGATATTTTGAAATTATCGATGAAATTATTTTTCTCTACCAATATGTTCATCAATATTTTTTATATTAATGTTCATTCATTACAAGGCTAAGAGCCACTCAAGGTAGAGGGCTACTGCGTGGTGTTGTAAGAGCGTGCGAAAGAACAAGAAGTGAAGTTCATGGGACGATGCAGGAAAGAAAATGGTTAACCTTAGACTTGAAGAGGACAAGATTGTAGCAATTGGGAAAACATCCTACCGAGAGTTGTTTCACAGAGCAGTAGTTCTTGGGAAATAAGCTGACCGAATGGAACTCGCTTCTTATTATCGGAATACAAAAGGATTGAGGAAGATTCATCCTTGTGTGTGTAGCATGGTGGGTCCTAGTTGTTGTCTAAACATTTCTATCATTGAGTAAAAGTCTTCTTTTTTTTTTTTTGTACTTATCCATATCTAGAATGGCGATTCTACGTCTTTCGTCTGAAGCGGTGATAGTCTTAATACATGGTAATGCTTCTTAATTAGTCTATATTAAATGTCTTCTTTTTTTTAAAATCCTGATTGCAGTTTTCGTTCAAAATCTGAGGATTGAAATTCTGTGTTGTATAGTTTCGAATACGATCTGTTTTCGATGAGGTCCTTTCGTCCGACGTCTTTACAGTTTGGGTTTGAAAATTGAATTCGTAGTTTTTAGGAAGAATGCATGTGTGATGATTCCTTATTTTGTTAGTTGTTTGTATATTTCTTGATTGTTTATTGTATTCCGCTTCTAACGTTTGCCAATTTTTTTACATAGGTTTTATTCCATTATTCAGACCTTTGTTTTTGTCAGAAGTTTTTTTCTCAGAAGGCAGCATGTCGACATTCAATTACCCACTATTTTACTATATTTCTGAACGATGTTAGGTAATTGAAACAAATTGGAAACTTTCTATGTAACGCGTTTCGTCCTCTAAACGGACTTCATCACATAATTGCTCTGTTCTTATTGATGGAATTACACACACACAAACACACAATGACACACACATATATATTGTTTATGCGTTATTTTCAAATATTCAAATATCTAAGTGAATGGTCTGTTTATAATAAAGAGTATTAGCAACATTTACCGGCCTGGATGTCCGAGAAATTCCCTAGGAAATATGTCCTCCGACAGGAATCGAAACTGTATCCTACACGGAACCGTCATATAGCCTGACGTGCTATACCATTTAGCTACAGAGGAAGTATATATATATATATATATATATATATATATATATATATATATATATATATATATATATATATATATATATATATATATATATATATATATATATATATATATATATATATATATATATATGTGTGTGTGTGTGTGTATGTATGTATAACTAGCAGCAATAGTAAACATTTAAGAAAATATGTTAAATAATATAATGTTTTATTGAATTTTAGCTACTTTGACTTCATACTGAAATTAAAATTACCAATAAAGTTTAACTTAATTTGTTACCTTTCTTATTTTCTGATAATATTGCGCTTGGACATCCGTGTTTACAAAATTAGATACCTTTATACACACATAAAATAAATTTAAAATGATCTTTAAAGTACTGGGTGTTGTTGAATTGTTGTGATTGTATGATTGATAAATCGTCTTAATCTAATAGCTAGATCACTTGAGAGGAGGGCGGTATCAAATGTAAAAAAATACTTTTACAAATATTTTCTAAACATTTAAGAAATACTTCAATTCATTTGCGAATAATTCATGAAAGTTCCATTAAAATCCAATAATTATTTGTTTTTTTTTTTGTAAATATTTCCAAAACAGTATGTCTTGTACCGCAAATGTAGGCTAAAATTCCCTATATTAATTTATGGTACAACGTTGACAGCGGAAAAACAAGATATTCAACCAAAATTCTGGAGGTTCTAAAAGGGATTGAAAAAATATTTTTTATATCAAAAAATCTTTTGTTCCCTTTTAATAATAACATAAAAATTTTGACGATGAAATGTTGTTCTTATTATGTTTGGGGCATTTTTTTTATTATGTACATTCATTTTTTAGCGAATCTCTCGAATTACCTGAGGTAACGGAATGGGGAGAACATAAATGTAGACTTTGGTTAGAATTATGTACCGATGGAAAATGGTATATTTTAACGTTTCTTACTTTCGAAGTGTCTAGACGTAGCCGATGTCATTCCCCGCAGTTTTTCTTTCTTGCTTGCTTTCTTTCTTTTTGTTGCTCCTTTTTCTTGTTTTCCCTTTTCTTTTTTTCCTTCATTTTTTTCTTTTTTTTCATTTTTTTTTCTTTTCTTTCATTTTTGTATCTCTCTGCATTTTTTTTCTTCTTACGCTCTGCTTCCTTCCTGTCACTTAATTTATTAGCTTTAAAAAAACCAAAAAAAAAAAAAAAAAAAACCTCTCAAATTAAAATTCATAAACAAACCAATGTGAACGAAATTCCAAGCGATGATCTCTCCAGTGCACCCCCCCAAAAAAAAGATTCTAATAGTAGTTAAAAGAAAAGAAAGAATGAAAGAAGAACAATTTTATCATTCCATTTTAAGTTGTCGCTTTACTTAACGTCAACGAATTCAGAGCACAAGCTTCGCATTTGCGGATGTCAGACTAAATCTATTTTTACAATTTAAACCCTTTGACTTTTTTACTCTTGGTTTATTACTAGTTTGTTTTTTTTTGGGGGGGGTTCACATTTTCAAAATCTTTCTACTGTCACTGCTTGTCTTGAACCTGTAAAAGTGTTTTTGTTGAGACGACTCTCTTTTCTCATCTCAAGTTGATGTCAATTCTTTGTCTTTGCGTCAGTCTTTTTTAGTCTTTGGAGCGAGAGTTATCATCACAGCAAGCAATGATATAGTCTGTTCTCACTTCTCTTTATTTCTCTTTATTTTTCTTTATCATTATCTAAAAGGCATGATGTGTGTGTGTGTGTGTGTGTGTGTGTGTGTAACGAATGCACGGCCGCAATTTTCGACGGATTTGCACCAAAATTTACATGCACATGCTCCAAGTTAGCGGGAAGGCAACGACCGAGTTTGCATTTCCGAACTCCCATGGATAGTGGAAATAATCGATTTTTACATGCTTCTACGGCAGTTTTCATGTAGTTTGCGGCCATTTTGTACTGGTCAGAGAGAGCGAGAGAGAGAGAGCGAGAGAGAGAGAGAGAGAGAGAGAGAGAGACAATTGCTGGCTGCCACGAATAGGCAGGAAGATTCTATTAGCCAGCGTGAGAGCCAACAGCTGACTGACACGAATGTTAACTAGCATGCTAGCATGCAAAAAAAATCGATAGCTGCATTCGTCACAAGTGGGAAAAATTTAAATGGCACTTTACTCCAATTGGCTCATTCGCTTGCTTAAACTCAACGTTGATCCTGATTCCGCAGAACTGGCTTGGTTGTGAAAAAGTATTTGTTGTTAACATTCTTTTTTTCATTCGGTTTTTCCAGTTACGAGTCCTTTTAAAAAACGGATCGTTTTGTGTTCATGTTGTTTAGTTCTTTTTTCGTAACAGATTTAATGTTTAGAATAAATCTTAGAAAAAATTCGCAGTGTGAGATAGGCAAGAAGTAAGGCATGTAGCAACATCAGCACGGAAAAGGGCACTCCTTTAAAGACAAGGAAGGGCAAAAATATTTTAAGTCAAGTGAGTGCTGTAAGAGTTGTACGATTTTTGAATCAAGCACGGGCAATGCCGGTCCATGCTGCTAGTTTCTATTTATTTCTCTTTATTTTTCTTTATTTCCCTTTATTTTCCTTTATTTCTCTTTATGTTTCTTTATTTTTCTTTACTTCTCACGCGGTTGAATAGAGAGTCATCATCATTTGATCGCCGAATTTTTTGTTAGGTCACTTATTTTCATTAATGTATTTCCCTCAAGACATTTTTATGACACACTTTCTCCTAACCTCATTCCTTTACTTTCTAATTTATCTTTCTTTCTTAGATCCTCTCCCTTTATTCCGTGCTTTCTCATTGGTCTTTCTTCTTTAGATCCTCTCCCTTCATTACTTGCTTTCTCATTGGTCTTTCTTTCTTAGATCCTCTCCCTTTATTCCTTGCTTTCTCATTTGTATTTCTGTCTTAGATCCTCTCCCTTGATTACTTGCTTTCTCATTTGTCTTTCTTCCTTAGATCCTCTCCCTTTATTTCTTGCTTTCTCATTTGTCTTTCTTTCTTAGATCCTCTCCCTTTATTCCTTGCTTTCTCATTTGTCTTTCTTTCTTAGATCCTCTCTCTTTATTTCTTGCTTTCTCATTGGTCTTTCTTCCTTAGATCCTCTCCCTTTATTCCTTGCTTTCTCATTTGAATTTCTGTCTTAGATCCTCTCTCTTTATTCCTTGCTTTCTCATTGGTCTTTCTTTCTTCGATCCTCTCCCTTTATTCCTTTTATTGAACAGAAAACAGAAAAATTTGAATTAATACAAATAAATACCATTTATCCAATTTAATGGGTGAAAAATTATTCGTTCAATGCAAATTTCAGATTTTAACTCTTTGAATTGCTTTAATGTTCAAATAATGTTATCAGTAGTTACTTTTAGCCTAAAATTACAAACAAAACATTCTGTAATTGATATTCGTGCAAGAAAGTAATCATCATGGCAAAAGGTATAGAACTGACGAATTTGCAAAAAGAATTGATTGCTAAGATCTGGAAAGAAGATAAAAGTTAAAGGAAAAACTCACACAACCTGAATATTCCATTTACTACCATTAGTTGTTCATTGCAAAGTATAAAAACTCAAAACTGTTGAAACCAAAGAAGGAATGTTGCTCCACGGAATATTTCCTCAAAATTTGCTTTCATCAGGAATCTGTGTCACAAAACGGAAGTCAAGCTCCCTTCCGAAAACTCCATTGCTATTGAAAAGACACAGAGTTGCCAGGTTAAAATTCGTTGGTAAACATAAGAAGAAGGAAAAATCGTATTGGGAAAGCGTAATATGGACAGACAAAACCAAAATTTGGATGTCATTCTAGAAATCCTGTATGCAGGAAAGATGGCGATGCCTTCAGACATAAGAATTCAGTTCCAAAAGTGAAAATTGGTGGCAAAATGTACTGACAACGTATCAGTAATAGATGGTAGAATGAATGCCGCTGTATATCAAAATATTCTGGAAGCAAATTTAATGATTTTGGTTGAAAATATTGAAATCCCTTCTTCCGGCAAGATAATGATCCTAAGCACAATGCAGAATTTACGGGGAAATAGCTTGCTGAAAAAATGTAAATAACATGAAATTGCCAAATTAGTCCCCAGATTTAAAACCAATCGAGGATAAGTGGTATTATTTGAAAATTCAAGTCCAATCAAGAGCTTCAACAAATATCCCGGATTAAGAGACCATATGCGAAGAAGAATGGAATAAAATGCAAATTAAAATTTGCATATCCTTAATTGGGAACTACAAGAAAATGTTGGTTGCTGTAGAAGTGAATAATGGCTATTCTACAAAGTATTAAATGAAGGTTATGTATATATATATATATATATATATATATATATATAGAGAGAGAGAGAGAGAGAGAGAGACAAACAGACAGACAGACAGAGTGTCTGTGTGTATAGGGTGAGAGAAAGATAGACAGGTAGATAGACGGACAGACAAATAAGAGAGAGAGAAAGAGAGAGAAAGAGAGAGAGAGAGACAGGCAGACAGACAGACAGAGAGAACAAGAGAAGGAAACTTTTTTCTCCAGAGTTCGTGCCTGACCCGGCGGTCATCATCTGACGATGAAGGCTTTGTTGGGGGCACTGCTGCTGTTTTCTCAGTATTAATTGTATTTACTATTAAATGGATATGCATATATTTAAACACACACACACACACACACACACACACACACACACACACACACACATATATATATATATATATATATATATATATATATATATATATATATATATCGTGGCCTTTATGCATTTGGTTAAACATCTGTTTTCAGTTTATCTATACTCCCTGCTGCTAGATAAGGACAAGTTCCAATGACAGCATGTATGTACATATATATATATATATATATATATATATATATATATATATGTGTGTGTGTGTGTGTGTGTGTGTGTGTTGTGTGTGTATGTGTGTGTGTGTCTGTACATGAATAATAATATATATTCAAGTTTTGATGTAATCTGTGATATTCCGCTGAAGATTTCTTAAGCAAATACGTCTAACTTTGGTTCACTCTAATCATTTCTTATATATTGACACAGCAAATAATGAAAGCATATAAAAATGCACAGCAAATTATTCTAATATAGAAATGCATTTTAAATTATTTTAATACGAGCTTCTTATGTCACCCATGATATCAAAGGTTACGTTTTATTAAAGAAATATGTCAAAACTTGCATTCACCCTAATGATTACATATACAGTGACACGGCAAATACGAAAAGCATATGTGGGAATTCATTTCAGTCTCTCCGCTTATGGCACCCGTGATATGAGAATTTATTCAACAAATACACCAAAACTTACATTCACTTCAGAATACATATAATTGCAAACATACTAAAAGTACGTATAGTAAAAAATGCGATATATTTTACCACATTAACTCACTGGAAATTATTTTATTACTTTTTATGTATCTTTTAATAACAGGTTAGGATTTATTAAACAAATCCAACCAAACTTGCATTTACTATAAGGATTCCATATACATAATGACAAAATATATAATACTAAAAGCAGAGATAGAAATTCATTGGAAATTATTTGAATACAAGCTGTTTATGTAACCTGTGATGTCAGCGGTTAAGATTTATTAAACAAATTCATACAAACTTGCATACGCCCGAATAGTTTTATATATATATAAAGAAATTTAATATATACTTTTTATAGTCGGAAACGCATCAACATGACGTGTACTTAGTTGGCCATTTAATTTGAGATGATTTTTTAGTTAAATAATGCGTGGTTTAAATATAAGTGATCATTTGTCATTGTTAAATTACGTCATATTAGGTAAGCATATTTGCTGTATTTGTGTTAATATTATCTTATACCAATTTCTAGTATCGTTATTCAACCATCAAAATATTTTTCCTGACTTTATATGTCTTTACTCCACCTTTCAGTGCCTCTTTTAGGTTATGGAAATATATTTACCGACATTAATCACTTCACTATTAGCTGTTTCTATAATGATATTTATTTCCTTTCGTGTTCTTTCTGTAAAGTTTTCTAGGCAAATGTTTTCTTGAAACTTTTAGAATTTTATTGTCTTTTTCAGGCTCTGATACAATTAAATATTACTTTAATTTTATTTCTATTTATTTCGAAAAAATTCCTTTAGTTTTTCTCTGATGATTTGGATATTATTAAAAGATCGTCAGTAGACCAATTGATTTTCCATTTATATTATCCATTCATTTTCGGAAAATACTTTCAAAATCTGCTGAAAGTAGTTTAATTATATTCCCTTGCCTCACTCGTTTTCCAATCTTTACTTTGTGTTGTCGCAATATTACAGTATTGTTAAGTGAATCAAAGATTGCTGAGTGTTCTACTGAGTCAAATGCCTTTTCATAGTAAACAAACGTTAAAAAGGGGATTACTATATTCTTTTGTTTTACGATCAGTAGATACATTGCAAATGTTCACATTGTGAAACGACTTAAAAAATAATTTTTTAAAAAGTGATTTTTGTATGATGTCATTTGTTTACATTTGGATACGCATTGAGCAGATACGAATGTGTGAGAGAATATCATGTAGAATTGTATTTAAAAACAGTAAAATCGACCCTTTTAACCGAACGCTCCGCTGTGGCGAAATCTGTTAAGGTACGTCAGGCTATATGACGCTTCCGTATAGGATACTGGTTCGATTCCTGTCGGAGGACGCGTATTTTCTATAAAAATTTCTAGGACATTCAGGCCGGTAAATTTTGTTAATACTGTTTATTATAAACAAAACATTTACTTAAATATTTGTATCTATGAAAAGAACGTATAAGCATAAAAATGTCTTAAATATATATATATATATATATATATAACCGTATGTCACTAAAATGTATCTTTTATTTTTATCTTCTAGTAATGTTGATGCTTACTGATTCTCGACTGAAACAGCTATTCTTTTTCCCTGAAAAACAACCAATTCCAAATTGAAGTTGTTCAGTTCCGTTATTTCTCTTTTATTCGATCGAAGTTCGAAACTTAAAGCACACAAGACCGCACTGTAGTAGATTTTTTTAATCATTTCGCCGCAAGCAAGGCAATAAAGCCACTATGACGCTGAGTGGGTACTGAGTGTGAGAAAATACGTGAAAAAGAAAACATTATTAAGGAGAGACAACAATAGAACAGGAATTAAGAAGACGGAAGATAACGATGGATATTTCATTGAACTTTTTGAAGATCAATGTTGACTGTGAAGCAATAAATGCAAAGGAAGAAACTATCAGCATAGAACTTACAGTTACATCTAGCCACTTCAACTTGCCGCCGATCTAGTAATGCGCTTAAAATCCTAAAAACTTGCCACCAAAGAAGAAAGCTGATCAGAAGGTAATTAACTGTGAATTCAGTAACCTTTCCAATTATGCATCTCGCCACGGCTGTATACGGTTTTTCTTTTCCTAGACTGGTTATAAAGAACAGGTAGAGAGCCCAGTCTCATTTGCCCTAAGTGGAGGCGAGGAAAACAAATGGATGCATACATTTACCAAGAGTACTTGTGCAAAAGTGAATGTAATGAACCCGACAGCAATTCGAACTCAGCTCTCCGATTTCTCTTTCGTAACTGCTAATCGTTACATTATCCACACATTTCTAAATGTTTCGTCGCTAGGCACTCCAGAATTTGCCTTCAGCTTTGAATGTTATATATGTATATATTCAGGTTCTTGACTTTATTAGCCTTATCAAGTTGAAACATTGGTTCCCCTACGATCACCGAAGTTAAACAACGTCGAACCTGGTCAGTACCGAGATGGGTGACCACTATGGAATGACAGATGCAGTAAGCTTGGATGTGTGGGTGATGTAATGGAATTGTTAATTGGAGAGCCGAGTTCCAATTCCAATTGGGTTCGTTAGATTTGCTTACGCGCTAATACCCTTAGGAAAGGTATGGATCCACCTTATCTCCATCAAGCAATGAGTTAATTAGTGGAACTTGTATCAGTAAATTTTTTATTATCTTTCAAAAATTCTTATAATCTAAAAATAGCTTCTGGCTTGAAATAACCTGCAAAGTGTTGATAAACATTAAAAACAAATCGATATTATTTTAATTTTAGTTGATGTTCAAGTCTTCATCCTTTTCAGACAGGATAGAGTTCGATACCAGTTGCCATCATGTGTGTGTGTAGGTGAATAAATAGATATAAGACAGACTTAGTAGATAGATAGATAGATAGATAGATAGATAGATATACAAACTGATAGATAGATAGATGATAGATAGACAGATAGATGATAGATGGGTAGGTAGGTGAGATAGATAGATAGATGAGATAGATAGATAGATAGATAGATAGGACAAACTGAGATAGATAGGTAGGATAGATAGGTAGATGGGTAGGTAGATAGATAGATAGACATGAACTGCATGAGATAGATAGATAGATAGATAGATAGATAGATAGATAGATATGGACAAACTGAGATAGATATAGATAGATATAGATAGATAGATAGATAGATAGGACAAACTGAGGTAGATAGATAGATAGATAGATAGATAGATAGATAGATAGATAGATAGATATAGATAGATAGATAGATGGATGGGACAAATTGAGATAGATAGATAGATAGATAGATAGATAGATAGATAGATAGGTAGGTAATAGATAGATAGATAGATAGATAGATAGATAGATAGATAGATAGATATGAACTGCATGAGATAGATAGATAGATAGCAAAACTAATTTGATGTTCTTATATTCCGAGTCAATGTGAACACATGCCAGAAGTGAAAAGCAACTAATACTATAAAATCAATTTATTGCATCTATCAGTAAATATGCGCGCACACACACATACATACACGCACACACACACACACACACACACATATATATATATACATATATATATATATATATATATTCTGTGTCGCGATGGAATCATATTTTTTTTTTAAAATAATTATAATCTAGGCTCTACTTCTGTATCGAGTACTGTTTTTTAAAAATAAAAACAAACATACAAAAACTTCTGATCATCACTCTTACAGTTCTTTTCTATTATATCAATATATATACATACGCATATATATGTGTGTGTGTCTGTGTGTGTGTTTAGTTTTACTAAATTTTAAAGGACAAAAAGAGTTCTTTATCAGAGATACGTCTTACGATATAACAGTGTGTCCATATAAATGACAGTAATAGAATATCAGTTTTATGCTTTAAATGATCATCAGATATTAAACATGTATGAATGTCTGTTGCCACTTTAGAAGGACACAATTTGATGTAAGCATACGCACATATACATTTACTTATATTTAATTATTCATACATTCTCGCATATACTTACATTAAGAGAACTACCCTCATAGCAACCCAAATGTCCACACACATATTTGATTTATTAATTTGCTCCTGTGCTTATGTGTTTTTTTTATCTATTTGTTCCTATGTGGATTTTATATATATATATATATATATATATATATATATATATATATATATATATATATATATATATATATATATATATTGAGATATTTATTTCATTTTATTTCTTTTTTATTTGACTTTTTTACCTACAATAATACTTTCGCACTTACACGTAATCGTATCTCATCTTTCAGGATTTAACGACATAATATTTTCCCGGCCTCTGCTCACTGCAGGGTTTCCGCTCAACGTCAGTCAGCCAAGAAATTTGTCTGAAACTGAGAGGTGCGACTCGAAGATATTTTTACCATATTTTCAACTTTACTTCCCCTTCAGAACTTTTCTCGACTGGCACCAAATACAGTTTTATTACTGCTTGTTTGGTCAATTTCCAACAGAAATATTGTTACTTGTTTGCTATTCGTTTTTGTGTCACTAATTTGAATCCTTAGTCAACTGGGTACAAATCTACAACTTGGTATATGAGATGCTGAAAAGTTATCGGCCCTAGCCACTTCATATAATCTGTTTAAACATCTATACTTATAACTTTTCAGGATCTCAGTCATTATTTTATTACTAATTATTTCCCCAACTCAAAGTAGAGGTTTACTTACTGAGTTTCTTTCATCAACGTAAGAGGAGAAGATAAGAGTGCAGTTTATGGCGGTATACAAGAAGAAAGGTAATGGCTAACTCGAAGTTTGTAGTGAATGGGGAAATATGCTCTCCGGAGTTTGTTCGACAAAGTTTTATTGGGAATAATTAGTCCGAAAGGAACTTCTTCCTTACCGATAAAATACGAAGGGAATGGGGAAGATTTATCTTAGTGTATGAGATATTCTCTGTGAAGCTTAGAACTTGTAGGACTAAGGAATGTAGCTCGTCAGAACACAGGCCATGGAAATAGCGACAGAGTAGTCATAGGCTTAAGTCGTTTCTTCTGTGGTGTAACGGAGTAGGGAGGGGAAATAATGTATTACTACCAAGGCCACATAGACTGGAAAGTGAGGGTGAGGCAACGCGCACTCTCTCTCTCTCTCTCTCCCTTTCCTTCTCTATCTCTCTCACACACACATATACACAATCACACACACAAATCACACATAATATCTATCTGTCCCAGTCTGTTCCGATCTATCTATCTATCTATCTATCTATCTATCTATCTATCTATGTGTTCATAGCTATCTACTTCAGTCTGTTCATATGTCCACCTACCTATCTCTATTTCTATCTATCTATCTATCTATCTATCTATCTATCTATCTATCTATCTATCTCAGTCTATTCCTATCTATCTATCTATCTGAGAAAGGAGTTATTCAAATTAATGTTTGAGGTGGATTGCTTTATTTTTTACTACTAATTCTAATCTTGAAGATGTCCAGATGGTTAGAGGCTGTAAACGAGAAACTGTCGAGCTAAGTTCGAACTCGCATCGAAATAATTACATTCACTTTAGTATAAATATCCTTGGGAAAGGTATGAATCCACCTCTAGTCCCTCAGCTATGGGTTAAATAGCAGTACAGATTGAAATCTATCAGAGGTTGACAACCAGTAAAAAAGAAGTATAAACCTGAATTTTAAAACGATTGTAGCCCTGGTAGAGCACATATTTGAACTGTAACTAAGATCCGCTCAGCATAGTTGTAGTATAAAGCACAGATTGGATCTGTGGATGTTGAAGAAACGCAAATTAGCCACCTGAGCAGCCATGCTGAAGCAGAGAAATCACACTGATTTGTAGTGTACCTTCAAGCGGGCATTTGAAGTACGCCTTCAAACTTTGATGATCTAATCTTGAGTAAATTAACCTCTCTAAATTTACTCAGCCACTGAAATATCTTTTCCACTTAAAAAATCTGAGGTTTTTCTTATTCTGTCTCGTTAGATGATCATCGGTTTGAATATATTCCACAATTGCTTAATTAGATTTCAAACCTCTTACAGGTTATGGCAACTAAACCTATTACCTTTTCAGAAATTCTCTTCTCTTAGGGAAATGTTTCAGAATATTATTATATGACTCATCTTCCCAAACATTTCAGTATAGGCAATATGGCTTCCTCTAATAAAAATAACGTTCGAAATAATAAAAAACATCATATATATATATATATATATATATATATAAGAATAAAGAAAAAATATACATATGAATAAAGGAAAACTGGTGAACTTCATCAAGACAAATGCAAGGATTTTATTTTGTAACAAATAAGTATCTCCAACAATTCGCCATAGCATGATGAAAAAAAGCCCCGAACTTAATACAAACAAAGTTTTATCGTCAAAAGAACTATTATTAAGAGGAAACAGCAAATATCTTTTTCTAGCAAGTTCGAAATCTGGTTAAAAATATTGAGTTTTTTTTTTTTTTTTTTTTACGTCAGCGGTGCATAATATTTACCATTAAATTTTTGTGCCTTTTTTTGCAGGTGAAAAAACCATTAATTTGTAAATTCTTGAAAAATCAAATAATTTTTGGATTTTAATGAAACTTTCAGAACTTATTCACAAATGAATGAAATTATTTAAGATATGTTTAATTTTTAAAAAATCATGTTAAAAATATATTTTACATCTGTTACCCCACCCCCAACTTACTTAATTTTATGAAAACTCGAAAATTCGACCTTGCGTTATTTAATGATTATATGTTAGTTAAAAGTAGAATTTGAAGAATATAAATCATCGATATTTTTTTGTAAAATCGAATGAGCGCACGACCCATAATTCCTACCTGAATTGTAAAATAAAAAAACAATAAAATTCAGGCATTATTTAAATTTAAAAAGCTTTTAATTGCTTTTTATGAATAATATAAGGAAACTATTGCCTGAAACCCAAATATTTTTTTCCGATGGAAAATGAACTTTTACAAGAATTTTCATTTTTTTTTAATTTTATATAAAAAATGTGATAAAATATTTTAAAAGTACGTCTCAGTTTGTGTACTTTAGAAAACGCATTTATTAAGAAGTAGATATATTTTTACATAAATTTGAAAACCTATTACAATCAGCGAACAAGAAGTTTTTTTTAAAATACTTTTTGAATAAGCAAAAAATATATTAAAATGTTTTCTTCAAATGTATAGATGAACATTTTAACCATAATAATCACGCATTTTAAGAGTTGTTCCTCTGACAGCGAGGACCTGACCATTTTGTTTTCCTTCTGGTGAGTAAGTGTTTAAATTCCCTGATTCACTATCAGCGTCGCATTTTGAAAATTTTTTAATTTTCTTTTTTCCAACCTATTTCAGTAAATATTGTAATTTAAATTTTTAAATATAATTAAATTATTGCTTTTCAGTAAGGGATATGCTGCAATTATTTTTCTTTTTTATTTCAGTTTTAAATTATTTTTTTTAGTTTTAAGGG